AAAACTACGCACAGTACTGCATCGCACAGAAACTACAGACTGGAGGAAAACAAGGCATGATAAAGGTATTGGGAACAAACCCAGACCCTGTGGCACATGGAGTTCGGACGACTTCGCCCCGGCAAGGACGACTTAAACCAGACGGGGGCATAAGCTGGGTTACATAGAGCTTACGGTTATTCTGCCGACCGAACTTGCAGCCCTCGTGAATTGTCATGGGCATGTCTCCAGGTTGTCAGCGACTTCTGTCGCGGAGCATTACATGCTGATGAAAATGGCCCAGAGGAGAAGACTCCAAATTTTTGGGGTGTCTGGATCTAAAGGAAATCTTGTGGAGGCTGCGGATGTGTTCACGTCCAGCCAATCTAGAGCGCCGAACCAGGGCAGTCATCCACTGAGGATCAATACCTTGTATCATGATCTAGATGAAGATGCAGTTAACATCCAGTTGGATGGCTCGGTCGCAGTAGCTGTACGCGGTGATAAGGGCAATGATCGTTAATACAATGGGCGACCGTGACAGCATAGTCGTCAGCCCTAGTCGTTTCGTAAAATCTTGGAATTGAGTCATCTTCGTCGTCACTGTCAAGGTGGTGGCGGTGGTCGCAGTGCTGGTCTTGGTTCTTGGTCGTAACAGCAGTAGCCAAACAGCTAGCACGACGAAAAATAACACTAAGAACAACACTCACGACAACGACAGCAGCAACAAAAGCAGACGACCACAGCAACAAAATGAAAACAACAGCCACAGCAACGTGCAACAGCAACAGCAACAGCAGCAACAACGACAACAACAACGACGCCAACAGCAACAACAACATCAGCGACGGCGATGATTGCGACTGCAACAGCAGCTGCAGCAGCAACAATGCTTGCGACACAGCAAGCACGGCAACCAGCAATCACAACATCCACAACCACCTCGACTACGAAGACGATGGCTACTACTACTTCTGCTGCTGCTACTGCTGCTACTACTACTACTACTACTACTACTACTACGACTACTTCTAATCCTACGAGGACGACGGCGACTAGTTCACTTCTACTCCCACTGCCACTCCGGCTCCGACTCCTACCGCTAGCCCTACCCCTACTCCTACTGCTATTCCTACTCCTGCTCCTACTTCCGACGCCTAGTCGCTGCCTCTGCTGCCGCTGCTGCTACAACTCCCGCTGCTTGCTGACAACAGCGTTGTTGCTCCTCCTCCTCATCATCATCCTGCTCCTCGTCCTCTTACTAGTGCAGCAGCGCTGTCAGTACTAAATACTGCTACTACGACTGCTGCTACTACTACTACTACTACTACTACTACTGCTACTGCTACTGCTACTGCTACTGCTACTGCTACTGCTACTGCTACTGCTCCTGCTCCTGCTCCTGCTCCTGCTGCTGCTGCTACTACTACTACTACGACGACGACGACTACTACTACTACTGCTGCCACTCCTCCTCCGGCTGCTGTTGCCGCTGCTGCTGCTCGTAGGCTTAAAGGTGAAAATGCCGGCAGAGCTACGTACAGCAATATGGTGACACAGTATTACGGATTGTGTTCACAGCCAGGACCTCACTTTGGGAGATGGCGTTGGACACCTTCTTCTCTATGCATGAGCGGCTCGGCTTGCTAAGGTGCAGTTTGCACCCATGCTTTTAGGTTTAGGTATGTTTCTGAGGCTTTGCAGAGCAGTTTGCATTTTTGCTTTGTGGTACGCCTGCTTTGCAAGCGCTGTTGCTGTCTTTTTGGTTCGTGGCAGCCAGGGTGATTCTTCACTAGTCTCTTTGAGCTTTTGGTGTTTGCAGTGTTTTCTTTTCTATCCGACGACCACTACGAACTTTGCGAGCGTTCGGCTTTCATCATGATCACCGCAGCCACCAAGAGATCACCAGAGTGGTCGCCAGAAGACCAAGAGACCATCAGAAGACCACCTGGAGACCACCAAGAGAGGATTAGGAGACCGCCGGCAGACCACTAAGCGATCACGAGGACACTACTGCAAAAATGCTTGCCCCGATTTACTCGCGGGATTCAGAGACATGACAAACATACTTCTCCCCATGTACTGGCGGGATTCAGAGGATTCAGACATTTTGAGGCCATCATGAGGCCAAGGAAATTCAGGATAGGAATTTGCGATAAGTCGTGATCCGAACGACGACTGCAAAAAGCAGAACACGAGCCCAAAATACACACGGCACCGCAGCCGGACCCCCGTCCCGGAAGCGCGCACACAAGCCAAGTTTTTGCTTCCAACATTGCAAGGTAAGAAGCCCAGCGTCCGTACCACACTGTTTGGGGAATTTGTGTTTTCTGAGCAGGGCGTGCCAGCTGAAAAATCGCCAGTGCTCCCAGGGTGTTTTTGCTTCGCTCGTACACCAGACCCCAAGCCTCAGAATGCGGATAAGGCGTGAAGTGGCACCAGATGACAGATGCTACGCTGTGTCTCGGATTTTTGTTCGCCTTTTTCGGGCCGAAAGGAGCTACGGTACTAGAAAGATCTTACTCATGAGATCCTGCCAACATACGTCACTCATTTCACATGCACACGGGCGCTGCCAAGCTGCAGAACAAATTAGCAACCTCGTTGTGAGCTTCAGCCAAATTCCCTCAGTGAAAACATGGCTATGCAAAACAGAAAGCATCAAGTCTGCGAGGATCCGTTTTTGAGGCTCCGGGGTTTCCGAGACGGTGACTTTCTTGCTGTACAGCCTGGCTCCTCGGTCCTTTCGAGTCGAGAAGCGATGCGGCCATGCCTCAGGTTCTGTTGGACGCATGCCACGCGGGCGGCCAATCACAGCGGATGCTGAATGTTCTCCGCCTCTCAGTGCAAGTTTTAGAGGCTCAGGGCCTGGTTGCTGTGAACAGTGCCAAACCAAACATGCCAACGGTCAGGTTTATCTGATGGGGTTTGACCGTAGGGCTTTGACAACTTCGACAAGGTAAGCACGAATGGCAGTGGACTTTTGATGAATGCGGCTTCGATGAATGACCAGTTCAACACAAGAGGCCCTGCTCAGCCTTGCAACCTCTGTAGCTCAAGGCATCCGAACTGCAACCCCATAGCTAGAGGGCTTCCGTGTTTAGGTTCTGCGTGTAAGGTCTAGGCTCTAGACAGGCCTAAACCTTCAACACCCTTCGGTCTACAAATGTGTCATCCCGGCACAAGGGGTGGTGCTGTACTCGTCCTCGTGTCCTTGCTTGTCTACTTCTCAAACCCCGCTCTGGACCTTCTTTTGGTGAGCAAGTGGGTGGCAACCCTCGCAACGAGGCCAGTATCCGCCTCCTGCGGAAGGCGGAAAACAAGTGCGCTCAAAGGTTCGGGGTGGGGATCCACGTTGAGGAAAGGCGCGGATCTACAATACCCCACAGATAAACGCGAGACCCAGACACAACATTCGTCACACGGATTTCGTACAGCTTCCCTCAGCTCTGGACCCCGTTGTCCTTTTATCCGCAAGTATGGTTTCCAAAACCTTCAACCAAAGCTCCGCTCGAAGTTGGTTGTGTGGTTTGGAGGGTTGGGCGCTGTTGGCTTGAAGGCCTTGGTCATTTTGTTCGGATCTCGAGCTTGGTTTCGAACGGTACTGTAGTGGGAATGCCAATCCTAGAAAATCCCGTTAGAATCCCTGGAGTGTCCAGCCTTGCAAGTTCCTGATCTGTGCTGCAGGGCGGGTATGTTCGAAGTAAAATTCCTCGAGCGTGTAGATGCCGAATGGCTAGGTTCCCAGGTTGCTTTTGCCAGTCGGCGGACCCTGCCTGAAGCCGCGAATACATGGGGAAAACCATGTTCGGGTGACGATGATGTGGCCTCCGCCAGGCTTCTCGCGAACACTCATAACCAGAGTGTGTCCTTTGGGGTTTGACGGCTGCTGGGCTGACAAAACGATATCACCATCTGGTGCGACTTCCACTTACCTCCACTGCCATGTGCCGAAGGGCTGGGTTGACTTTATGCTGGCTAAGCCGTATATATACATATATACGCAGATTATGTATCTATGCATATGTATATCTATATATGTATTTATGTATATATATATATATGTATGCACATATATATGTATGTTTACATGTGTATATATATATATACATATGTCTGTGCATGTGTATGTGTATGTGTATGTGTCCGTGTGTGTGTATGTGTGTGTATATGTATGTACATATATATATATATATACACATATGTTTATATGTGCCGTAGTACAATATGGGACATATACAGGAATACAATAACCCACAAGTGCAACAATTCCCGATCAGCCGGAATTTAGCTGTGGGACCAAATCGCATGCGCTCGCCCCTTGCCGTGCGGCTGCGGGCGCTGGTGCGCCCAGATGCAGCTGAGTTGCGACGTTCCGAGCTCGGGATTTGACTCGAATTTGCTCAACCCTACTTGTTAGCGGTTTCTATGCTTGAGGATCTGAGTCCGAAATACGTTATAGGGTGTCTGGGTTTAGGCAGGCAGAGCCTGCTGGAAGGTTGGCATGTCCCTCAACTTAATTTCGTACCCTTCTGTTGCTAGGGCCCAGAGAAGTTTTAGGTGTCGATTCAGATTCGGGCCCTGTGGTGAGCAAAACGTTTGCAGGTTTCGGACGTTCAAGAGGATCCTTCTGCATCCGGGGTCTCTGGGAGCCAAAATCGGACTTGACCAAGACGTGAATCGTTGAACTTTTGAACTCCATCGGTTTTCACAAGGTTCTAGGACTTAGAGGTTCAGGGATTCGGATGTCGGCGCACTGACAGACCGGAGTCTGCACCGTTGGACCGGACCAGCCGCAATCTCACTGCACAAGACAAGCACAGAGAGTTACATAGCCTGCGTAGCCACAGCGATGCGATAGCAAGCTAGGTATGTACCAGCGAGCGAGGGGGCGACATCAAACCAACTGTAGCGTTTGCCTCCATCGCATCCTTTTTGGCCGCGCTGCAATGGCTCATCTCAGTGGCACGGCTACTGATCCGGAGCCCTCTGCGACCAGCAGTGATGAAGCGACCTCCACAATGTCGTCGGAGGAGGCAAGTGTGAAGGAGAACTCCGCCGAGGAAGCCGCGGAGCAGATCTTAGGGAGTGACTATGCCCTTTGCAGCTTGGATATGTCGGCGATGCCAGTATCAAATAAGGGCCAGTGAAGTGTTCTTCCCCGGTGTTTGCCTTTCGGGAAGCTTTCGGCATGTGGTTTTTAAACGACATCTCTGGGCACGCCGGGTGTTGTTCCTGGGCAGCTGTAGGGACAAGCACCAGAAGCAGAACTCCGCGTGAGGCTTGGCCCGTGAAAGCCTCAAGCCGAGGCAGAGTACCGCGCCATGCTCGGTACTCCTGGCCCTCCATGGCACTGGAGCAGATGGCGCAGGGCGGGTGCATCGCGAATGTGGTGATCGGAGCTCAAATAGGACCAGTTGGCGGTTTAAGATTGGGGCTAAGAGCTGGCTGGCGGCCGCTTAAAATGTCGCGACCGCCATCTGCTGCAAGGCCCACAGCCACCAACTCTGATTCGTGACCTGAGATGTAATGCCCGTCTGACCGGTGAGCAATCAACCCGACATACTCGAGCTCCGGAGACTGTGCTTGTTCCCGAACTGCATTCTGCACCGGATCCTGTGATGCTTGCTGGCACCTGACCTCGAAACTCTGTCCTTCTACACCTTCCCCAACTTAAGCAGGACATAAGATGACTTCCACTGATGCCCTGTTGGCTGTTCTCCTCGGTAACCTCATACTGGCTTTGATGGGCCTGGCACTTGGTATGATCGGCTGCAGAGAAGGCAGGGTTTCAGGGATGTATTGTGAAGGCTAGTGTTTCGCCTGTTCATCAATACATTGGTCTGCCGTTTCAACTCGCGCTACCGCCATGTTAGGTGGTCTGCAGATTCTAAATACCGGTGACCATTGTCACCGCTGCCTACCCTACACTCCTTTTGTGTCATAAAGCTTGGGAAGTGTTTTTCCGACAGACGTCATCGTCGGCTGTTTCAAGAATCCCTGAAAATCTCCGAACTCTGTCATTCGCGCCCTGGATACTACAGGGGAGGAGGGTAGCACAGCAAACCTAGCATCGCTGTAAGCATCGTATCTTTAAAGTTCTGATGCGCCTGCGGCCCTGCGGCCCGCCATTACCTTGTCGGCCGCGGTGCACCCATCGCCTGAAACAAGCGATAAAGCCCTTGGACCTCGTTGAGGAACAGCCAACAGAATCATGATCACAAGGGCATTTCGGAGAAACGGTCAGAAAAGAACATCATCTTGGTCTGCATGAGCGACAGACACTCCGGCAATCTTCGAGTGGGTCTCTCGAGAAACCCTACAAGACCCTAAAGTCTTAAGCTCCGAAAGCCTGAACCCAAAACCTACGAGCAGATCGTAGTACATAGCTTCTACAGCTAGCAGCTAGGAATTGCTGACAACTAGCTTGCTTTGGGAACTTACAGCACTCCGTTCTTCGCTAACCGGCACTGTTCAAGCCCGCTTGGTGTGCACCGCTATTTGGGGTGCCCAGTGTTTTCACCCAACAGACGTGTGGGGACATGCCTCGCCCGCAGAGTCCGATTGTGATCGCCGAAATCCGAAGCCCCGTCAACAGCAAACACCAAAACCCAGGCCCTTAACATGCAGAAGAACACAGCCAGTTGTGAGAGCGTAACATGCAGAAGAAAACTATAGCCTGAACCCAAGAGGCATGACTACGAGCATGCTGGGGCGCTGGACAGGTCTTGGTGTGGTCGGTGCCGCGGTCGCTATCAAGGTTGCCTATGAGGGTTTTCCAAAGAGGGTTACCTTTGAGGCGCCGAGTCCAAGAGTCCAAGAGTCTCAAGGGAGCGTGGTCCAGTTCGGACCCGGGCAAAAGGCAACGACAACAGGAGAACCTTGTTGAGAGCAACCCACAAATTAGATGTGGGGGTTTTGTTTGGGGCCTGGGAGGGCCCGGTAGCTTTGTAACGGGAGGGCTTTGGATTTGTTTTTGTTGGGTGGCATGCACGGAAATCACGATAGAGTGGCGATGTGGATGTTTCTGTTTTACGGGTTTAGTCTTCTCTTCTGGGCTGCACCACCGGCACAGGGGGGCCGAGGCGTGAGCCCAAACGTTTCAGCTTCTTGTCACCACTCACTCCAGCCGAGCCACAAGCCCCGAAGCCATCTTCAGGCACCGGGCTACTGAGCCTCATCACGACAGGCAGCCTCTTGGGTTGGTTTGGGATCCAAGCCGCGATCCTTGCCTTCGGTTTAATGTTCGCTGCTTACTAAGACACTGTCGTTTTGCCAACTTCTTCAGCACACTGTCTCGATGTTTAGCAACCATTTCGAGACGTTCTGGGTTGTGGCTCCGCGCATCTGGAGTCTTTGGTTATCTCCAAATTTGTTAGTTGTGCTTGGTGTTTTTGCCCTCTGTGACGACATGACGTCAGATCATCCGGATGAAATGCCTGAATAATCTCTTCTCCCCAATATTGCCCCCCGCTCCCGAATACTAAATAGTGTAATGGACGGAAGGTATTCAATGTGATGGGGGGGGGCATGCCTTTCATCTTTCGGTTCCTCAGTGCTGCATTTTGAAAACTTGGTAGTTCATGACTTAAATAGGTAAAGCTTGGCAGGTGCAGGTCTAGTCAGACACTAACTACCGAATAAGTAGTTAACAAATCCTTCGAACCGTAGCCCTTGAGTCCAAAGACCCATAGTGACTGAAGTTTAGGTTCCAGCTCTCATCGGCCGCAATCCTACCGTAGTCTTAGCGAATTCAACCTCATCGGGCAAATGCTCCCCGAAAGCGAAATTTAGCATGATAGGGCTTTCAGTAGTAGAAAGAGTTTGCGTTGGTGCCTTTCCTGGATATTCCGTCATTGTACAACAACTGCGGCACAGCTTTCATTATCGTTGCTCGATACATGTTCTTGGCAAAAGCGAACCACCCTCCCTCAAATGCCGAGACTTCGAACTTGCGAATCTGTGGATGAGTTTCAATCGGCCCACACACTCTCCGTTGTGATGAATTCCTCGGGCGAGAACATGCGGTAGCTTCCAGAGCGACTTCCTGCTACTCTGTTCATCCACGCTGTGCACCTACAAAGTTCGCCTTGAGCCGTTGCTACAATCTGAGTACGCTGCAAGCCCCTTTCTTTAAGTTTGCGCCCTTGAAAGAACAAGCACAACGTACCGCTTATGATTTGGACCTGCTCTGTGCACCATCAAAACAGCTCCTCTTTGCCCCGAGCACAAATCGGTATCTGTGGACCATGCCCCCTTCACCTGAAAGCCTTCAAGTCCGAACCCCAGAAGCCGCAAAATCATAGGATCGCCGGAGACGGCTTGGAGGCAATCGGCCGCTTGGGCTACGCCTGGACTTGGACTCTGGTGAACGGAGCGCTGGCAGGGCTCAGGGTTTCAACGGTTTCAGGCTTCTGAACACTTATGATTTCCCAAGGGCCCAAGGCAGGACAAAAGGCCTCCCTGATTTGGAGCCGGCATCGAAGTGATTGTTGAACTGTGTCCAGGGTCTCTGGGAGTATTTTCAGCAAGGACAGCGACTTGGAGGGTCGGAGTTAAGGGGTTCATCGTCGTTGGGTGACTTCACACCTTTGCCTCTACGAGCGGACAGGTGACGTTTATCGTCGTGTTCGGCTTTCGCTGGATGGTTGGCGCATCATGGATCACAGGCCTCACTGTTGTGGGATGGGTGTAGAAAAAGATTGAAACCTGCATGGTCCCCTGAGACTGATGGGCCGGGCGGCCTGGCCTGGTCCCCTGTCAAGGACCCATCTTCTTGCTCGTGGTTATCTGGGCATGCATCGTGTCCCTGCGAGATTCCGGCCACGAGAAGCACGACGTCGAGCTTTCGGAGCTCTCTCTGCTGCATGGAACCGGGGTTGTTGTGGGTGGATGGGTTGTGGGCACGACGATCGCGTCGGACGTCTTCCGATTTGCTCGGTCGAAGCGTCAGGCTGCCTCACTTGTTGCCCTGCCTCGCAGCTGTTCCCTGGCAGTCTACATGGTCGCCGGAGTCTTGCTTTCGCAAGCATACGGGACGGACGATGTCATCACCATCATGCACGAGTCTGTCGGTCTCGGAGCTGTCGTAGTCGTCGTGGCCGGAGAGATGGTCATTAACTGCGCGAACATTTATTCCGCGATGCTTGGTCGTTTTACTTTTTTACTTCAGGAAGTATTTTGTGTGTCGATGAAAAGGCTTAAAGATTAGCCCCTGACCCTGGAGGCCCTAGCGCTTGGCCAGGGAGCAAAACACTGAGAGGAGAGGAGCAGTAGTAGGAGGAGCACGTGTTGTGGCAATTGGTGCTGGCGACAAAATAGTAGTGTCTGGCGCAGGATCATGTGCTAGCGGTGGCAGGAGCAGTAGAAGTACAATCGGCATCTTGAGCAGCAGGAGGATCAGGAGGAGGATCAGGAGGAGGAGGAGGAGGAGGAGGAGTAGGAGGCAGGAGGTTCGAAGGTCTAGCCTAGCAAGAGGTAGGTCGCAGGAGGTGGTTGGTGGTAGTAGGTATTAGGAAGCGGTAGTAGGTAGAAGCTAGTAGTAGTCGTCGGTGCTGCGGCGGCCGTGGCGCGGGTGGTGGTGGTGGATGTAGCAGTGGATGTAGAAAGGAAACGGAAGTGAAATTAGAAGGATGAGTAGTTGTCAGTAGTTGTAGTAGTGGTAGTTGTAGTAGCAGCAGTGGTAGCAGCAGGGAGTGTAGTAGCAGTAGTAGCCGCAGTAGAAGAGGAAAAAGTAGACGTAGAAGTACAAGTAGGAGCAGGAGCAGGAGTAGGAGTAGAAGCAGTAACCCTAGCAGTAGCCATCGCAGTAGCGGTAGCCATAGCCGTAGCCGTAGCAGCAGCAGCAGCAGGAGCAGGAGCAGTAGCAAGAGCAGTAGCAGTAGTAGCAGTCGTCGTCGTAGTAGTACTCGTGGTGATGGTGGTGGTGGTGGTGGTGGTGGTGGATGTGGCGGCAGTGGCAGGAATAGCAGCAGCAGCAGCAGCAGCAGCAGCAGCAGCAGCAGAAGCAGTAGCATTAGTGGCAGTGGTAGTAGTATCAGTAGTAGCAGTAGTAGCAGTAGTAGCAGCAGTAGCAGTAGCAGTAGCGGCAGCGGTAGCGGTAGCAGTGGAGCAGTAGAGCAGTTGAGCAGTGGAGCAGTAGAGCAGTAGAGCAGTAGAGCAGTAGAGCAGCAGAGCAGTAGAGCAGTAGAGCAGTAGCAGTAGGAGTAGGAGTAGTAGTAGTAGAAGTAGTAGTAGTAGTAGTAGTAGTAGTAGTAGTAGTAGTAGTAGCAGCAGCAGCAGCAGTCGTAGCAGCGTAGCAGTCGTTTTTGTCGTAGTAGTACTAGCAGCAAGGTTGTGGTGGGAATGGTGGTAGTAGTAATTGAGTAGTAGTAGCAGTAGCAGTAGCAGTAGCAGTAGCAGTAGCAGTAGCAGTAGTAGTAGTAGTAGTAGTAGTAGTAGTGGAGGGTCATATATTCTGGCAGCCAGCAAGCCCAGTGTCAAAAAAGTAGCAGTAGTAGCAGTAGTAGTAGTAGTAGTCGTAGTAGTAGTAGTAGTAGTAGCAGTAGCAGTAGGAGTAGCAGTAGCAGTAGCAGTAGCAGTAGTAGCAGTAGCAGTAGCAGTAGGAGTAGTAGTAGTAGTCGTCGTCGTGGTGGTAGTAGTAGTAGTAGTAGCAGTAGCAGTAGCAGTAGGAGTAGGAGTAGCAGTAGCAGTAGCAGTAGCAGTAGTAGCAGTAGCAGTAGCAGTAGGAGTAGTAGTAGTCGTCGTCGTCGTGGTGGTAGTAGTAGTAGTAGCAGTAGCAGTAGCTGCGAACGGACTGCGATGCCTTGTCAGGTTCTAAGGTGTCACTATAAGAGCTGTGAGCATGACTGTGTAAAGTGCAAGAGAAGGGGGCACGCTACGCGTCCCTCGACTCTAAGGGGGCATGCTACGCATCCCTCATCTTTACCATTCTATGTGACCGCCAACGCAACGTTTGGCTCAAGTCAATGCCCATAGCTAAGTGCTATATGTGTCTTCTATCCTGAGCAATCAGAGCTATCCCGTTGCACAGACGAACCGCCGCCGGCAGTGAGTGCAAAAGGAACGGCCGCGGTTCTGCCTGCATAGGATTGCACGTGTGGAAGTAAGAGGGAGAGACAGGGTCCAGTCTGTGGAGAGTGCAAGCCAGCCACACCTACATTCATTACAGCTCTGGTGGGGAGAGCAGCAACCAAGTCGAGATCAATCCCCCACGCAGGTTATCAGCCGTACGCGGCTCTGCCTTTCTACAGCAACGACTACTTGATCTACTACGACCACAATGAACTCAGGATCAAGCCAAGATACGACAATGACTTTCGGTGCCGATGTGGCAGCGCCAGCCGTTGGTGAGTCAACAGCTGATGACACAGTGGTGCAATCCGTTGATAGCTCCACGGAAGATGACAAAGGTCAATCTTCTGCGCTTGCCATTGCAAAGGCAGTTCCCAAGGGAAAGCAAAGAGTCTACCAAGAGCATCTACGCCTTCGCGTCCGACATCCACAGGTTCGAGGACGGGCAAGGCTCCAGAACGACGAGCCGAAGCGTCTGGTTTTCAGGCACCTCGGACTACGTCCAGGGCCAAGGACAAAGGAGTCAAGACCTTGGAAAAGAAGTCAAGGCCATCATCTTCGAGAAGCTCTTCAGCACGATCGAGGACCTCAGCCACTCGTGGGCGTGACAAGTCCATGACATGGAATCGGATGGTTACCAATCAACCACGCGATGCTGACGATCTGGATATGACTCTGGATACGATTCCTGCACGTGGTGATGCGTCGTCCGTGGCCACGCCTGCCATAGCCGATGGTCCGAACGCTTATCAGGAGCTGACGATTTCGCAACAGTTCGAAGCATCGAACCTCGCGCAGCAGATGTACTATCGCAGTCAGGTGCAAGAGTACGAAGGAATCGTCCAGACCCTGATGGACAAGATCAAGGAGATGCAACAAGAAGATGAAGGATCTGGAATTCGCATTGAAGAATTGGAACGACAACGTGACCATGCATGCTTAGCCATGAAGCACATCAACAATGTCAATCAGGAGATGAAGCGAGACTATGAAGCAGCTTTGTTTCGCATGGACGAACAGAACTCTGCTCAACAACGTCAGGCACACGCCGTTGCCGAGGAATTGGCTCAGCAGCTACATGTGTTTCGCACGGAAGCAGCCACCAACTTTGTGCAGTTGGAGGCAAGAGCGCAAGGCGATGGTGAGCTTATGGCACGTGAGTATGAGCATCTGACTCATGAACTTCATGAACATGCCAGAGAGAACTTGTTCCTCCGGTCGAACACAGCAAGTTCGGAACAAGCTTTACAAGCAATGCAGGAACGATTCCAATTGGTCAAGAATCAGGAGTTGCGGGCCGTGAACGAGATCCAAGGGCTAGCTGGAAACAGCGCAGCCATTGATCAAGAACGACTTCGGCTTCGTGAACGTCTTGGTGAAGAGGAAGAGTACCGCAAAATGGCTGTGAGGAGGATGCAAGATGCAGAGGATCGACTTCATCAGAATGAAGATCATGCAAGGCGAGCATTGCCTACCTTGCACGACGAGCTGAGTGAACTCAGGAAAACGCTCAAAGCACAAGAAGATCTTCAAGCGAGAACACGCAGCGAACTGGAGGCAGCGCGGAACTCCAACTATGGTGGAGCGACGCGGCCTTCGAGCATGCCCATGTCTTCGAGGACTACTGAGTCTGGCTGGGAGCACATAGGAAAGGAAGTAGTGCCTGCATTTTCCGTAGGAGGTGAGGTACGATCCCCTGAAATACGTTCCCCAAGTCAAGTTAGTCCAGTCGCCAAAGAGAAGTTCGCATTCTCGGAATCGGACAAGGACAAGATCCTTGCGATGGATGGAATTCCATTTACCGGTGGAAACTTCTTCACTGGCCGCAATCCAACGCCAATTGTGGCGGATGCAATGCCCGAGCACTACGTGCCAGGTATTAGCAATCCAGCACTTGCGCGTTCCACGCCTAGTGCAGCCACTCTTTTTGGCATACCAAGCGGATCTCATGGGAGAAGTGATGCGGCAGCCGTGCGTGATCGACAGCTACGCGAACTCTTGGAGGATCGCGGGATGTTGGGATCGAAGTCCACAGCATCTGCCAGCTCCTCAAGACCTGTTGGTATCGACGGTATCACCGCATCTACGAAGGGCAACGACCTCATTGGTCCCCCTGTCGCCTATGACGATTCTATCCATGAGGCAAGGAGGCGTCAAATCGAGAAAGAGGTCGCAGAACAGTATGAAGAGAAGATTGCTGATCTGCGAAGCGAAGTACTCAAGGCCCAGAAAGCCGAACAACGTCTCAGAGCTGATCGTGATGAGTGGAGATTATTCGCTGAAACGATTCAGGAAAACCATGGAGACGATGACGGTGATGAAGCTGGCGACGAGAACGGAGAGGACGAGCATGACGAAGGAACCGGCACGGGGCATGATCCTCCAGATCCGCCTGATGATGATGATGATGATAAGAAGAAAGGCGGAGGGGGCAAGCCTGAATCGGATCCTGGCTCGCATGCGCGTGATCCTGATGGAGACGCGGATCCTGAAGTCACAGAGGTGAGAATTTCCAGGAGGGAAGCCGACAAAGTGACCGTTCCTCCATGGCCTACTCTCACTCATCTCAACAACTGGCGATCCGTGTGCACGGCCAATGTCTTAGGAGCATCAGCCGACCCACATCATGAGGACTGGATGTTATGGCTGGCACCAGCGTTCAACCCATTCCCTGATGTCGAAGCATTGAATGATTCAGGACACAAGAAGTTCAAGAGCATAGACGTCAAATTGGGGATCGCCATGGTCGCAATGCTACGTGCCGGTGGTGACAAATCAGCTGACCTGTACCTTGAGGTGAACCGGAAGGCTAACGATTACATCAGCAGGCCCGACGGGAAGATCATCAAAGGACGACAGATCATTGCGATGATGTATGAAAGTTTTCGAACGCACGATCGTCTCGACATGATCATCACTCTTGAGTATTTGGTGAAGCTCCAGTACCAAGGCGACAACAAGCTTCATACGTTCAAGCAGACGTGGTTGGAAGTTCTGGGACGGATGAGACCAGAGGACATTCCATCCAAAACAGCTCTCCGTGATTGCTTGTACAGCAAGATCAAGGACTCGCCCGCAATGAAGATGGAGTTGGGCATGCATTACGAACACTTGCCCTACAATCATGAAGACCGATCG